GCAAAAGGGCACCCCATATGGAGTGGGAGTTCATGTACAGAATGGGCTTGGCGGGGGAGGAGGTGATAGGAAAAGAGGTGGGGAGCTCACCAGGGCTCTCGCATTCACCCGCCATAACCATATTGATGTCTTTTACGGCGGCTGGCTTTCGCCCCCCTCCCTTCTCAGGCATATAATATTATATACACATGTTTGTGTCTAATTCTAGACATACATAGACTATTTGATAAAAGTCCTCGATCAAGGGCAAGGGGTTGCACACAGACTCTTCAGGATTCATGTGGATGTTTAGATGGGGCAATTAGAAGAGGCTAGCTTCGGTCTCACGTTCTTGGCCGATGTTTTTCCAAAGGCCCATGATCATTTACAGTGCAGTTTGCCAACGCGCGACATACATCGCGGACCTTTCTAGCAGCTGCATTGTCGAACGATAAGGCAACATAGAATGTTTTTGCATCCAATGCTGCAAGATGATCACAAGTTAAAAAGTATAGAAATCAAGACAGGGAAAAACTACTACAGGCACCTCACATGGGGGGCACTTGCTTGGGCTGCTGCACAGTGAGTTTTCCAGTTTGGCAGGTGCCCAAGTTGCCACGGCACAGTCGAGACCACTTGGTGGATTTGGTGTTGGCTGGTTGGGGCCTTGGCCATGGCAACGGATTGAAACCATTCCAAGTTGACAGTCCCAAGAAAACCCAGGCGAGGCACCATCTCGATTGTTTAGCTAGATTCGCTGTAGGTAAATAGAGGAGCGATGACAAGCATATTGTCAATATCGGGTTTTGAGGTGATTCTCATGATTCTGTTTGTTGTTCATTTCAGCTTTTCGGCAGCATCAACTCGGAGTCAACTCAAGCCTGATGTCCCACACTACCGGTTCGCTGATCAGCCCAGGCCCCGGCAACACAACGCCAAACTTTGCTCCTCGTGGTCTCCAACGCGGTTCCACCCTGCCCACCCAGCACCCTTGGAGGCTTGCTTGCTGTTAATTGCCCATTGCCTGACACTGTCGGCCAGGAAAGGACAAGTGAAAAGCACTTGCTACGGTGACTTTCCACCCAGGACAGGAGCGTTGAACACACCGAAGGCTTTCAACAGGACCTGTTTGGTGCTTGTTGTCGTGTTTGGGGCACTCTGGCAGGAAGGTGGCCCCACGTCGGCAAGGGGGAAAGGCAGGGACAAAATGGGACATGTGCACAGGGAACTCGCTGCTTGAAGAATTTGAAGATGAGTAAATGCATTTGGATTTCAAATGCAATATGCTTCGGTGGATTCAAACCTGCTCGCAAAAACTGTCGGGATAGTGGCTCACAAGTTTGTTACTCAAGGTGCAGCCCACAACGTTGCCACCCGTGTCCAAGAAAATGTACAATTGGCAATGAGCTTGAGCTGGCTATGCTAAGATCCTGGAAGCTTAAGTTTCGGCGCGTGGACTTATGCGCAGAACAACTGCGCTTGTGTTTCACTTGAGCGATGTCAAGCCCGCCAACCAAAATGAGCGAAGATGGGTGCGCAATCTCTTGTATTTCGTGGAGTTTTTTTGGTTGCTTTGGCAATTTGGCAACGTGATGCAACGTGTGAGGTGGTCCCTGCAGAGCGCTAGTCATATACTACTTGTTGAGTAGATCCTGTGGAGGTGAAGAGATGTTTGATTTTGTTTGCTCAGGCGATTTCGTGAACATCTTTTCTTGGAACAAACTGCGCTGTTCTTGGCACAAACTACAGCCGGCGGCAGACTCCTAGGCCGTATGACTTTAGCGGTGTGAGGTGATGAACGAGTTTTTCCCCAAGTACCCGATCTTGACTTCAAGACAACCTCCAGTGCAGGATCCTCAGGACATGATTTGGAAGTTCCTTGCAGGATCCCATTGCCAGTTACCTTAGGCATCACTTTGAAGGATTTGCAGCCTCGTTTGCCCGGCACAGCGGTGGAATCAAAGACCAGGAAAACCAGCTGGCCCTGCGCTGATTCTTGTGAGTGCTCCAATTGGCTTGAGCGTATTCATGGATCCCTGGAACCAACCACGTCCAAGGAGTTGGAGATGCGCACACACTGTTTAGTTCTTCTATGGGTCCTAATCGTCCAATCTTTTGCGGGGATTCGTCAAGCGAACTTACCAAGTCAGTGTTCATTCAGACACGTCATGCACTATCCAGCCTGCCCACACTTGCTGGGAGGAGTTCGAGGTGTCC